CTTGGTCTTAGGGACCCTGACTGACATCCCTGCAGATGGGACCCTGGACTGGCCCAACTAGCCTTGGATTTTCTCGTGTTGTGCACAGTGGGGACCCACTGGAGGCTTGGAGGAGGGGAATCAAAGGAACTGAGCAGTGATTCGGGACTGTGAATATGCTGGCCAGATGGAGGTTGGATTGGGGAGGGGACAATCGAGGCAGACATAGGGCTACGGCATTGTGCCTAGTAAAGGCGAGGTGCTAAGTGCAAGGACAAGGGTGGACATAAAGCTTCACGGCCCATTAGCGCGGAGCTGGTCAGTCCCTGAAGTCAAGCTCCAAGAGAAAGCAGGGTTGGTCAGTTCTGGGCGAGGAGCAGGGGTGGCTGGGGAGTGCCAGGAACGTTGGCACGGAATTGGAGTCGAGAGAAAAATTACCAAGCCCTTGAGGTCTTCCCTTGAGAGGACAGGACTTTCTGGGGGCCGTTCCTCTCACTCCATTGGTCTCCCTCTCCCCTCTTTCCTCTTCTTTATCTTCATAATTGTGTTCTCCTTCGGGTTTCTCCTCTCCTCCTCCCCCTTTCCCCATTCCTTCTTTTCTTCTCACGCTCACATCTCTTGCTTCTCCCTTGGTCTCTTCCTTTCTTCCTCCTCCTCCCTCTTCTCCCCTTTCTGCTCAGCTTTCTTTTCCTCCTTTCCTGTCTTTCTGTTTCTCCTTTCTCTCATCTCACCTCTTCCTATTCTCACCTTCCATTTCTTCCTGTTTTCCATTCATTTCTTTTCTCTTTTCCCTTTTCCTCTTCCTTCCTCTCCTTCATTGCACCTCATTTCCCCTCTTCCTATTTTCATTACTTTCTGTTCCTTTACTTTATCTTTCCCCATTTACTTCTTTTCTTTTATACCTTCGCTCTTCCTTTCTCCCTTTCTCTTCCTCTCCTTCCTCCCTTCTCCCTCCTCCCTGCTATGCTCCTGCAGACATCCTGGAAGTTCGGCAGAAACCCATCCTGATGACGTAGCAGCGAGCCCCGGAGAGCCAGCATTGCCCCGGGTGCTGCTGCCAAGTGCAAGTGCCTGTCTGCCGTGGTTCTCTGTGACACCTGCCGCCGCTGCCGCTGCCGCCGCCACCGCCCGGAGTCCAGAGCCCAGCATCTGCCCCTGCCTGGCCAGGTTTGCCCAAGGGAAGCCTCTCCGAGAACACCAGCCGCCCCAACTGAAGTGCCTCTTTCTCCTCCCATGCCACCTGGCCCCCATGTGCACGTGCCGCAGATGCCCTGACGAGGACGTGGGTCCAGAAGAGGCCAGGAGAGCCGACCGAGCCGCGCCATCCTCATTCTTTCACACAGTTGCTGACAGTCAGCTTTCCGACAGAAGAGAGCAAGCCAAGTGTCCACAGCCTTGCTGGGGACCGTCCGAACCCCCTGAGGGGAGGGTCTCTCGGTGATGTCCCACGACCTCTTCTGTGGGTAGGGGCGGGGGTCGAGGGAGGAGTGGACCCAGGACTCTTTTGCAGTGCCTGGCCTTACTCAGGCTGGGGTCTGGCCAGGCTGAGGGCAGTCCCTTTAAGTGCCCCGTGGGAAGGGGGTCTCCCGGACTGGCAGCCCTCTTCCGCTTCCAGCCAAAGAATACCCATCACCCACTGGAGAGGCAGAGTGTGAGGCTGGACGCCTGGTGGGGTTCTCCAGCCCATGGCCGGTGGAGACCCCTGACAGCGGCTGGTCAGGCACGGCGATGTCGTCTGGAATCTGGGGGCCGGGGGAGCCCACTTTGTCCTCTGACTGTTGATCTCATTTTTCAGTCTGATACACTGAGGCATGAGAGGAGTTGGTGAAGATGGCGGGGGTGGGGGAGGACGGCCCATTGGAGGAAGGAACCTTTGGACAGAGGCGTGAATTTTTTGATTTCCATTTTTTCTTCTCCTTTGGAGGGCAAGTGGCTCCACAGTGCCAGGCTTGAATTTCATCCCTGATCCAGCGCGAGGGGGATTCCCATTGTCCCATTGACAAGGGGGCCTGTTCTGTTATCCTGGGGAGGACAGACGCTTTCCTGGTCCATCTGGAATAAACTTCCTACCGACCCTGTCCATTGCGGCCGGTTGGGGAGCCAGCCTTGGGGTCAGGGAGGGCTCTTGGTGACATGTGGTCAGTGGTTCCAAGAGGAAACGTTTCCCAAGCTTGGCCTTAGTGCAGGGGTGGGAACACCACAGGCAAGTGATTTCCTTTCTTGGTGCCTCAGTTTACCCATCTGTAAAATGGGGCTAATCACCTACCTCACAAGGTGTCAGGAGAGTGAAAGGGATGACAGACAGGTCCCTCCCACCACTGGGGGAGAGGGGCACAGGGACATCCGTCCTGCCCTAGGTAATGCAGTCCAAAGTTGGGAGTCCCACCACCATCTGGAGCCAAGTGCCAAAAGTTAGTGCTTTTTATTCCTTTGGGGGCTTCCTGGGAGTGGGAGCTCCCACTGCCTCTCCAGAGAAACAAGTCTGGGCGTGTCTCCGATGCAGGCAGCCCCTGAGAAGGGCTTGGGTCCCTTCGGAGGCACAGATGATCTGACTAGGAGGACCCCCCGTGCTCACATGCACACAGACAGACACACACACACCAGCATTTTAGAGCAGCATTAACATTAGCAGGAAGAAAATTGGATTGGGACCTGGGTTCAAATCTCAGCTCCTCCACTCATTCCGTCACCTTTAAAATGAGGGCTAGTCTCTACAGCCCAGCTCTACAGCTGGCATGGGTCACCCTCTCCTCGGCACCCCCAGGGGTCTCTGTGTCAGACAACTCCAGCCTTAATCTGAACACAAGACTGACTGTGGACTGAGGCTCGCCCAGGAACCTTGGGGCCCTGAGCCCACAAACTCCCCGGGAGATGGCTGTCTGCTTGCTGCTTGTTAGCGAGATCTGGGGCCCACACACAATTTTCCCTTTAGATCAGGAGTTCCTACCTGGGTCCATGGACCCTTTATTTTTTTGAGGAGGGGTCTGTGAACTTGGGGAAAAGATGCCATCTATTATCATGGCTAACCTCTGAGTCATAGCATTTCCTTCTGAGAAGCCCGGCCACAGGCTTCAGACTGACCGTCACAGGGGCCAAGGGACTGCGTCTTAGAGGAAACCAGTGTGTGTATGGAGAGGTGGCCTGGAGAGGCTCATACAGCAGCAGCGACGGCCTGCACTTGGGTCTTCCTGCCAGGTTCAGGACGGAAGGGACCTTCAGGACCAACATTTTACAGCTGAGGAAACTGAGGCCCAGAGAGGGGAAGAGCCGGCACCTTGTGCCGCTCCGCGTCTTTTCTCTCCCCTGTGTCTAAGTGGGGCCCAGTGGCTCCTGCTCCCCCCTTTCCCCAAGGCCATGATGCCAAAGCTGGGTTAGCCTCGCCTTGAGGACCGACGGTGGGCAATGGGGATAGCTAAGGACAGAAAGGAGGGACCCGAGATCTGCAGCCAGCGCCACCCCCCCCCCCAAGCCTTCCTGTGACACTGGGCGTCTTCAAGCCTCTGCACAGACAGCCTTGGGCAGCGACAAAGGACAAGGTGGCGGGGGCAGAACCCTCATTTGTAGTTTAGACAACAAACACTTGTGAAGTGCTTCCGAAAGGCGAGGTTCTGGGGTTTGTCCACAGCACGTTCTGGGAGTAATATTACTTCCCTTTACGTTTGCCAGGCTCTGATGTTTTCTCCTGTATTTGCCAAACAACCTAGAACCTAGAACCGAGGGCCCCTCTTCCCCTTGGAAGGGTCGTCCTCCCGGCTTTGCCTTCACCCCCTGCAGCCTGGACCCTCTCTATGGGCTGCTCTACTGAACGGCGAGTCAGCTGCAACACTGGACGGGGGGCAGGTGCATGGACTTCCCAGATGAGGTCTCCCAGGGCGGAGCCCTCCCCTCCTCCAAAAGATGTGCCCACGCAGCCAGTCAGACAGTGGTCCAAGAGTTTGTTTACAGTTTTCTGTGCCCCTGAGGCAGGAGGGATTTTTATCTCCTGTGCCCAGACCCCCACACCCCCAGGAGCTTGGGAAGCAGCCAGGCGCCCCTTCTCCAGGGCACTCTCCCACTGGCAGGAGGGGGCGGGGGATGGGAAGGTGTAAATACCCCATGTGTGCTTCCTGATTCCATGTCCCAGTAGTCACACCTGTAAACACCAGTTCAAAGGAGTTTCCTCCCACCATTTCAAGGCTTCCCTACTCTTTGGAAAAACGTGTTTTGGCGTGGACATTGTTAATTACACTGAAGGTGACACAGGTGTGCTGGCATGTCTGCGTCTGTGTTTTTTCTTTTTTAACATTCTCAGCACCGGGCGCACCCCCCATCATCTCCTTCCATGACTGCACACGGTGAAAGGTCGTCCCACGGGTCTGTCCTCGGCCGAGGAGGCATGCGGGCACCAGCCTGTGCACACCCGAGTGCCTGGTCGCGCCTGGACACACCTGATGAGGGCGGGGTGTCTGGGTCAGCCCTTGGTCCTGTGGAAAGGACTACAGTGCCAAGAAGGCTGCACAGCAAGCAGGCGGCAGTCCCCTCCTAGCCCTGGCCTGGGCCTTCTCCGCCTACCGGGGGATGGTTTGGGGCTGGAGCGAAGGTCACCCAGCCAGCTGCGGGGGTTCATTTAGCAATGCGGTTCGTCTGGGGCCAGAGCGCCAGGTGGCTTCTGACTTGATTCTTGGTGTGGTTTTGAAATTCAACGTACCTGCCCGAGCTGTTCTGCCATTAAACGACATGTTTTCTCATCCAGCAGTGTGAGGCAGGCCTAAGTAATGGGTAAATTGGGGTTTTCCCCATTTGTGTGCCCTGGACGCCATCATCATGTTTTTAAATTCATAAAGAGCTTGGGGTTACGAGGGAAAGCCCAGCACACTTACAGGCAGTTAGCTCACGGGCTCCTGCCTCAAGGACGGGTGGCAGATGCCTGGAAATCCTACTTGCTCCTGAGGAAGGCCGAGGCTGCTAGATCCCTTGAGTTTAGGGGTTCTGGGGTCAGGGCTGGTATCTGCCCGAGAACATAGGGCATCGGTATGGTGAACCCCTCAAAGGAGTCACTGTCTGAGACTGAACCAGCCTCAAGCCATGGAGACATGGCATTAGGGGCCTGCAGGACCACTGCCCTTGTCAGCAGCCAGTCACCTAGCCTTGCAGAGGTCACCAGGGAGAAGGACTTTCGGGCTGGGGTGGGGGAAGGGAACCCGGCCTTGGCCACCACTGGTTCCAGGGCTGGGCTCTCCATTGGCCCTGCGCCCCCTCCAGTCTCTCCCCAGAGCCCCTGGGTTCCTGGGCAACTGCTGAGTGGGAGGCCGGCCCAGGCAGGGGCGGTCATCCGGCAAAGCTAGGGTCACTGAATGCTTGCAGCCACAGCTGTCAGGCAGGGGCATGAGGCAGGGGGCTCCCAGCCCTCTCCTGTTACTGTGCGCGAGAGGGTCTAAACAGGGCAGTGGAGGTATCCGGGGCTGAAGCCCACTAGTGGTGGGTGGCCTTCTGAACTGTGGGGAATGACCTCTGCCTCGCTAAGGTCTGGGCACCTGTGAGGCGGCAGCTCGAGGTGGACACACAGTGAGCACAAAGGAACCTTCTCCCGGGCGGCTGCCACCCCGTCTGCCCGCACAGGGCCCACCTGGGCTGAGGAAGGCAGAATAGAACGCTCGACGCCATCCCGAGGATGATTTAAACATCTCCAGTACCAGGGCTTTACGCCTGCGACTCCCCCAGACTGGTTAGGAGGTAAGAGGAGCTGACCCTGGGATGGACAGAGCCAAAGGCGCCTGCCTCAGCTGGCCAGCTTTGTGTGGGTAAAGGCGGCTTGGCTACTGAACTGGCCGTGCCTCGGGCACCTCTCCAGCACTACTTTCCTTTCTCGGTCGGTCGTCGTGGGCGCCGTCACGCCACGATGCTGAGGGTAGAAGCAGCAACAGAGGCACCAAAAGGCTTGGTTGTGTTCACTTCTGTTTATTCACATTTTGTGGATTTGTTACACGTCCCAACGGGACCATTCAGGGCGCTAAAAACCAAGAAATGACAGTGGACAGTCCAAGGGTTTTGGTCTTAGAAAAGGATATCCCATTTGTTGTGTTTAACTCCCCCCCAAAAAACCAGAAACCAAGAACACGTGGATGGCAGGCCTGAAGCATCCCATGTGTGACGCTCACACTCTGGGGCCTCGAAAGCAGGCCGGCATCCCAGGGATCGCCCGCCTGCCTCCCCAGCTCAAGGCGCGTACTTGCCCTGACCCGCCTCCTTTGTGCTCCCCTGGCTCCAGGCGGCCTGTCCACTCGGCTCCCCTGCCATCCTTCTCTAAGGGCACTGCCCCTTCACCTCCAGGGGCTTGGTGGGGGCTCAGAGCCCCTCCAGGCCCGCTCCCCGAGGGGTAGATTTTTGGCATGCAGCCTAGACAACAAAAGGCAGGCCCTGAGTAACACCAAGTAAAACGCTCACAAATCAGACACCAAGCGCACTCGTCGGCTTGTATGCTCCTCGATGCCAAAAATGACTAACATATGGAAATTAAAATGCCTTCTGTGCAAGGGAATGTGACCGGAAGGGGTCAGCCTCCCCAGGACGTGCCCACGCTCCCCACGGGCCGCCCGCCGGTCAGCGGCTAACTTTCAAACTCAAAATCTATACAAAATGTAGTTCTTATCAATTAGTCTGAAAGGTTCCTAGTTTACTTTAGGCAAGGAACCAGCTGCGTGGTTCGACACAGCTCTCGGGTTGATGGAGCTGAGGTCAACGGGTCCAGAAGTCCGACCCCAGGCTGACCAGCACGCCTGCTGCCCCACATTGCGGCCACCGGCACGTTACCCACTAGGTCATTTCCCTATTGTTTTCTCACAGAAACAGCGACAGCTGAACCACCAGCAAAGTGAGGTCTCACCACACACACTAACTTACAAAAAACAAACAAAAAAGACAACACAACCCCCCCCCCCCATTCTCCAGAGGTCACGGAAGAAGGGTGGACACATTTCCAGCACGTGGGGTCCTCCCCATGAACCACGACCCCCCACAACATGGCAAACAATGCAGGGCCAAGATCACACCGAGGTCGTCCGTCCCTGAGCCCGACCCTCCCCTCGGAACTCAGAGGAGGCCCCGGAGGTCGGCTCAACCAGCCCATCAGCGGGTGTCACTCAGGCAAGCCCCAGGATACCCTGTTTTAACCACAGGAATCCCTGGCGCTAACCCTGAGCTCACCTTCTAAAAACCCACCACCAGGTCCCTAGGGCGCTGGATGCGAGCGACGCCATGGGCCTCAAGGACAGCCCCGCAAGAGTGACGCAAGCTGGTCCATGCAGAACAGCCGCATGTCCGCTTCCTCTTCCTGTCAACCTCAGGTCCTTACTGCTGAATTGTGCCCATCTCCAGGGCAGCACAGTTGGGGCTTGGCGCTCCCTCCAGGACAAAAGCCCCCCACACTGAAAAGGCGATTCCTGAGCCTGGCGCTGCGGCCGCAAGCAGAGCGGCATCCGGGAGGGAGTCGCCCCGCCTCTCCCTGCGCGGGGGTGCTCTTCCCACACACTCTCCCGACGCCGTCCCGCGTTCAGTTAAAGCTTTTTATTGGCCATAGTAATTTTCCCCACAAAACCTTTCAGAAAACCTCCAAGTTCTCAGAATGTCAAAGTAGAAAGTTAAGAATAAAAGGAGTAAGTTTAAGGGAAAAAAGCAGCAACTTGGCAAAGGCGCTGAAGCCTCCGCCGCCTTCACGCCTCCTTCTTCTCCAGTAAAATTTTGTGCAGCTCGTCGGCGTCCTCAGTGGTCTTGACGCGGATGAGCATCGTCACGGGGATGGCGGCGTTCTTCTCGCTGATGGGTGGGTTGGGGATGCAGATGATGAGCACGTTGTTCTTGCCAGTGCGGGAGCAGGGCATGTTGGGTGAAACCAGGACGTTCAGGAGGATGTTACCTGCATGGGAACGGGAGGGGGGGAGACGCCCCGTGAGGCCCCGCCCGCGCACAGGGGTTGCAGCGCACAGAGCCCGGCCTGCGGCCCCCGCCAGCGGTCTGGGACGGCAAGGGTCCTCACCTCCTGAGGCCGAGGCCCAGAGTGTGGCAGGCGCCCCCCTCTCCCGAGCCAGTCCTAAGGCCTGCCTGCTATCACACCCCGGACCCCAAGATCCACATAACAAACTTGTTTTGTTTAGGGGCAAGAATTGGTTCTGACTTTGAAATGGACTTCTGAAACTCATCTATTCCTCAGCTGGGACAGGAATTCATGCGGCAAGTCAGACGCGGCCCTGGGCCCCTTCCCCTAGGAGACCACCCACCTAGCCCGCTGACCAGGCGCCGACCTGGAAGCGAAGGGCAAGGACAGAAGGCCTCGGGGGCGAGGGGCCGGTCAGGGCTAGCAGCCTGGAGGCTTCGAGGCCTGCCTCCATCACCTCCGCCCCCCCATCTGAGAGCCCAGGCTTCCTTACCAAAAGCCTTTCCCGCTCCATCTAACCGCACGCTGGGGGCCCGCGTGGGCCGGCCCAAGGGTGACAGTGCGACTCAGCGGTGCAGGCCAGCCGGCCGCCGTCATCCTCCTCAAACACGGTCACTCACCTAAATTGGTGTCGGCTCGAACCAGAAGCTGAGTCTTCTGATTGGCGGCGGGTTTCAAGTGCAGCGTGCCCACGCCCTTCTCTTTGAACTCATTATCTTTTTTGTAAAAGAGTTTGCACCTGGGGAGGGTCAACAGAAAGGGTGCTCTGTTAGCATCCTGAAAGGCCCTCCAGGCCTAAGTGGAGGGGGATCCCTGGGAGCTGAAAGGCAGAAAAAAGGGGAACCCCAAGGACGACGGGATGAAGCGTGTGAGGCCAGCATGGCGACCTTCCTCCTCCTGGGCCTGCTCAGCGGCCCCCGGCCCCACGCGCTCAGGCACCTGCGCTGCAGTCTTATGCTGACCCTGCAGGGACACCTGTGGGCACCCGCAGTGGACTTGGACGCCCACACACGCAGCCTTTCTGCCCGTCTCTTACGTCACTCAGCAACCTCAGCAGCCCCCAGACCTCTTGTGACTCGGGGCGACGGCCTTCAAAGGGCCACCAAGAGGCCTCCCGCCAATTCCGTCTCCAGTTCTGCACGCGGCCCTGGTCTGGTTCTAGTGCCAGAGTCGTCATTGGCACCGAGGCTCCAGGACACCAAGAGCCCGTGGGCTCGAGGTCGTGGCAGCCTTCGCGTCAGAAGCTGGCAGAGTCCCCACGGTTTCCCGCTCAGCCCGGGCCCCGCTTCTGCCGTCTTGGACTAGCGAGCTTCACAGGCCGGACCCTCGCGATGGCCCAGCGTAGTGGGTCAGCAGCCCGGCCCTTCACCTCGAGGGCCGCCTTCACAGTCGCGTGACTCTGGGGATGCATGTAGGTACCAACACCAACAGAAGTCATGCCAAGGATGGCTAAGTCTTGGGCAAAGAACTGGGGACCCGCGCGAGGGGCGGCAACAAAGGTGCGCATCTCAAGAGCAGGGCAGACCGGGAGAGGAGCACAAGATGGCACGCCTACGGGTGCGGCTCCTGGCCAGTTGAAGGCTGCAGGAGCGCACTGACTGAGCCCGCAGCTTCGCACATACTCCGAGGGGCTCAGACCCCGCCTCGGAGAGAAGGGCAGCAGAGATGCGTTACAGGAGGGAAAATTCAGCAGAGGCCAGGGATGAGGCCTGCGACTCCTGGCCCTCAGATGCAGCTCAAGTGCCCTAAAGTGGGAAAACTGACCTCTTTGTTGGGACAAGGGCCATGGCTGGACAGGACATAGAGCAAAGAGAAATTCACAGGAGAACGACGTTTGACAGGAGGTCAGTGGAGACAAGAAACAGGAGAGGAGACTAGAGACCACCTGGACAGAAAGAAAGGAACGAGGATTTCTGGCAAAACACCAAGTCTGTCCTGAAGAATGCTGCGCGGGAGGGATAGGGCTTCCCTTGCACTCACAGCCCTCAGGCGGCTGCTTGGAGGCCCGCTAAAGGGCGCGTCTACGAGAGCAGGGGACGGAAGGGGCAGGACGCGAACGATGCTGCGCGAGCTTGAACGGCGAGCTCTGGCAAGGACTGGGCTGTGGGGTCAGGACGCTGAGGGACGAGGCATGGTGGGGGCACCCTGGGCCTGGAGGGGCAGGGAGGTCTTGGGGCACAGGTCACGACACGGCACACTGAGCTGACCGGACCAGGGGAGCTCCAAGGAACCTGGCAGGGCGGAGAGGAGAGGAGAGCAGAGCAGGGGGCCCAGACAGGCCAGGCCTCCTGTAAAGGAAGGAGAGACCCGCTGCATCTGCCTGTGAGCGAGACCAAGCAAAGACCCCCAGAGACCAGCCCCGGCCAGGGTCAGGAGAGCCTCGGGGAGGCGATGCTGCTGCCCGGCAGCCGAAAGGACGACCCAGAGACCTGTGGGTTCTTGCAGGTTCTGCCTTTTCTTTCCTGAGCCCTTGTGTACATGATGCCTTGGCACGGGACACAGTTCTATCTGTGAACGTTCTAGCCTCCTTTTGGCCACTTGCTGCCCAGGCTCAGAGACCAATGAACGTGCCTGGGCCTGAAACAAGGGAGCGGATCCCTAGAGGTCTACAGCCCTGGCTGGAGGATTCTACAAGGGGAAGGGGGGCCAACAGGCCGAGGAGGAGCATGCATTTGCACTCGAGTCTTTGGCTCCAGATCTGGCACTACGCATCCACAAAAACGCAGTCAAACAGGTTCAGCCCTCGCACTGACGGCAGCAGCAGGGAGTATCCCAGCTGGGGTGCCCCCCACCTCGGCCGGGCCAGCCGCCGGCCCCCCTCCCCAACCCCCGGGCCGCGGCCCCCCCCCCCCCCCATGCTGCTGGGGCACTGAAGGATGCACCATTCGCTGACCTCAACACAAGGACACGGTCATTTTCCAGAAGAGAAAACCTGCCCGTCGGAGGCCACACTTACTTCTTAGAGTAGAAGGCATCCTCCTCTTTGACCTCGGTGACGACGGCCTTGGGCGGCTCTTCGCTCTCGTCCTCTTCAGCACCTACTACAGACCCACAGTCAGGCCCAGGGCGCCGCCCCCTCCCTCGCCCTCTCCCTCCCCGAAGACTCCCAGGGGCCGCATGGGCATCTCACACCTCCCCTCCCCCCGGCACGGCGGGGCACCCCTCACCACCTCATCACCTTTGCTCTGAGCAGCGGACGTGTCCTGCTGGTTCTCCGCCATCTTGGAGAAGGAAAAGACGGAACTCGCCTGGGCCACATCTCTGCCAAATATGCCCGCGTTTCCAAGAGAGAAAGAGAAGTTTGCCGTGGGGCTGGCGCCCAAGGGGCCCAGGAGCGAGCTGTCGACTTTCTGGCCGAAGTGGAAGGAGGTGGCAGAGGCCGCTCCCACCGCCGGGGCCACCTTCTTCTCCGCCGGTGCTTCTGCCCGCGTGTTGGCTTTGTTCGTGTCAAACACGAAGGGGGCGTCTCGGGGCTGCTGCCGGCCGGCCTCCCTCTCCGCGCTGCCATCGCTGCTGCCGCCGCCACTGCCAGCCAGCTGCTCGATGCTCAGGAGGTACTTCTCGTAGTCCTTAAAGATGGGCGTCAGGTCGCAGAGCGGGTTGGTGTCCACGTGCTTTGCGATCCAGTCGCGCACGGAGCAGTTTAAGGCGGCGAGCTGTCTGTGGTAGGTGCTGGCGCCACGGCCGGAGGAGGAAGGCTGCTGGCTGTCCCCATTGGTCTTGGTGCTGGCAGCCTTCTTGTCCGCCCCCGTGGGAAACATCGGGCCGTTGGCTGTGACGCGGCCTGTCCAGAAAGGAGAGTTCTTTGGACCGGGGGATGCCTGTGCCCTCCAGCAGCCACCTTTCCGTACCGCCAGGGCCCCCTGCCCGCCCTCTAGCTCACAGACGGGCCCCACACCCAGGATCCTGCCAGGCTGCGCCCCATTCACATTCCTGTCCAATGGACCCCCCGAGCTGACCATCTGTACTGGCAGGGCAGCCTCTAAACGTCGCAGCAGCTTCGGGCGGAAGGGGCACGAGACCGAGCAGTCACCAACGCATGCCTCCCCAGCCCTGAAGGACTCGAGGACCCCTCCCCCAGGCTCTGCTGCCCTCTCTCGTACCCGCCCACCCCCTCCAGCCTCGCCACCGTCTGCCTGGAAGCGCCCGGGCACCAGGCGCAGGTGCGGCTCCGCCTCGGCCAGGGCCTCGCTTCCCACAGGGGAGCCCCCGGGATGCACACCGGGCAAACTCACCAAAGGTCACTTTCTTCTCTGCCGCAGCCTTGGCGGGGGCCCGGGTGGGCGCAGAGGACGCGCTACCGCCGTTGGACAGGCCATCCAGAGGCCTGATGCTGGTGCCATTGCCAAAGAGCCCCCCTCCTCCAGGAGGCACAACCAAGCCCTTGAAGCCTTTAAAAGCCCCTCCACTTTCAGACTGCAAGGCAAAGCAGGAGAGTGCTGGGTCAGATGGCGGCACGCATTGGCACGTGGCGCAGGCTACCCTGGGACAGCAGAGAACAGACGAGGGCTGGCTCCCCACGAGCCTTTCGGGACCTCTTCCCTCCAGCTTTGGTCAGGTACGGCCTCCTCCAGGAAGGCACCGGCCCTACCTTAGACTCCATGCGTCTGTGCAGTAACACAAACTGGGGTCTCCCAAATGCAAGGCCAGGGATCGCTCCCCCAAACGGCCTCTGCCACCAAACTGAGGCAGGGCCGGCACTACGGGTGGAGCAGACGCCTCTCTGAACCTCGCTGCTCCTGGCAGTACGCCCGTCTCGCAGGGCAGAAATAACGTAACATGAGTCTAGCGTCCCGTATGCCCCGCATGCCTCGGACACACCGGCCGTCTGGCCAACCACTGACCGGCTCTCCAGAGGGTTAGCATGAGGCCAAGCCAGGAACAGGGAAGGTCGCGCTCGGCTCTCAAGGCAAGAAAAAAAAACCCAACCCAACTGGGTCCCCGAGCCCAGCTGCTCCTCCTGCATCCCGTGAGGTCTCTCATCATTGGCTGACCCTCGATCTCGCTGCTCAGGAGTGGGGCCAGCCCGGAGAGCTCCCCAAGGACTCCAGAAGCTGCAAGGCACCCCCCGGCCAAGGTGGTAGCAAAGACCCCTCCCCCTCCCTCCCCCCAACCCCACCTGCAACGCCCTCCCGGGGGGGGGGGGGGGGAGGGGTCCCATCTCTGCCAGGCCCCGCCTCTAGGCTCCTCACTGATGGGGGTTTAATAAAAAAAGCCCAGGACAGGAGCTGGTTTCTGGCTTAAAGACACTGGAGACGCAGCTAGCTCCGGTCAGCTTGTCCTGCCCCCAGCCCAGCGGGCCGCTCCGAAACAAAAAGGGAGCTGGGGGGAGAGCCGCACAACTCGCACTCGGCACCGGCCACACACAGCCGCCGACGACAGAGAGGCCTGGAAACCGAGGCGAGGCCGGCGCACCCCGCCTGACTGTGGGGGTGCAGGGTGGGGGCGGGGCAGTCAGCAGACTCACTTCCGAGGTCACGCTGCGGCGCCTGGCCTTCTTGATGGCCCTGCTCCTCAAGACCTCCTGGCTTGCCACCGAGAACGTCCCCACCTGCAGGGGACGAGAGCGCACCCACGATGTGAGCCGGCGCCTCCGACGCTCCCGGCCCGGCGGGGGGCCCGCCCCACCCCCCCTCCGCCGCACCTCCTCCACCTCGTCCTCCTGGTCCCAGTTCCGGTCCGTCAGCTCCTTCTCCGCGTTCCTTTTGGCCATTTTCTCGTACCTGAGTCAGAGCCACAGTCAGGAGCCGAGCCCGGACGGGGACCGCGACGGCCCTGCCTCGGTCTCCTCAACTGTCAAAGGGGGTCCCCGCGCAGCCCCTCCCCCAGGCTGGGGGAGACCCCATCCCCATCCCCCCTCCCGCCCCAGAGGTCCACTCAGACCTCAGTCTCCGTCACCTGGGAACATTCCGACCCCATCCCCATCC